ACACTACACAAAAAGAAACCTACTTTAAATAAATGTTATATAATAATGAAATATCTATAATAAAAAATATTTATGAGTTAAATACTTTGAAACAAAATAAGAATTATATTTTTTACTTAGAGCTAGAAAACTGATATATCTATGAGCACTTGAGACCTGGAAGGTACACACTAGTTGTGATAGAGATAAATAAGCAGTGTATGTGGAATTTTTTAAGAACTGGTGCAGGATTTTCAATTAAAAAAAAGTTATGTATATAATGAAGCAAAGTCTGAAAAACATATACATGTAAAATTTTACAAACAATCAACAAAAACACGTATAACATTCACAGTTTTAAGTAGTGGTTTCTTACAGACTTCACTTAGTTTGTGTCTGTAACAACATTTTGGTAAATTTACCTTGGCCTTTTATTCATGATTACAAAATTATATAGGACATTCAAAAGTATCAGTAATGATACTAAGTATATGGAATAAAAAGCAATACAGAATACTGCTCCAAATAGGGCTAAGAGATTAACATTTAGTGTTTTCTTTATGATTGACATCATATGAAATTTCAAAAATTTTTGATACTTTTTGAAAAAAAGTAAATTATTTTTTTTTGGTCTTAGAATTATTTTATTTTTACTGTTCATTAGAAAGTTCCATTATGTATATATATATATACACACACCCACAGTCAATTTCAACTTGATTGATTTTCATTAACATGTCTATTTGGAAACTTTATTTTGCCAATTGCAATAGCTACCACATTCAGCTATAAATCATAAAAAACAATGTATAAACTGACATAGATTTATTAGTGATTTAAAACTCGACCCTTCAAAATGGTGTCAGGTCAGGTTAGGTAACAATATATTTTTCTAACAATATTCTTGGTCAAAATTATTTATAACTGACAAATACTTTTGTGTTCAATAAATTATAAGTTCTTTCCTTTATGTGGGTTGTTTGAATATGACAAAGTTAACAACAATATTCAATAAATAAAGGTCTGAGTAACATTTAAATTACCAGAATATTTTCCCTTTACTACTGTACTCTCTAAACCCAATAAAGCTTAATTGATGTCTTGTCACAGAAGAAAATTGCCATTATTCTCACACAAATAAAATTTAACATGAGATCATTTTCAGGAATATAAAGAGTATCTAAAGAAATTTGTTTGCTCCTAAATCTTCTAAACTTCCCACTAATTCTATTGTCCTTCTCTGTAAGAGCTACATCTAATTACTTTTCCACTAAATGATAAATTACTTATCACATAAGTTTATTCACTTTACAGCGATGTAAATAGTTTAGAAACTGCTTTATTCAGTGGTATTTAAACTTTGCCTGTAGCTACGTTCGTAGGTGTTCTTCATTAGTAGTTGTTTCCATACTTTCATGACTTTAGAATATATGATGTAAACAGTAACCTGTCATAGTAAATCTTCAAACAGAGAAGGAAAGAAACAAGACTTAGTTAATTGTATTCTTAAGGGATGATAGTCTCTTAGTAAATAGAAACCTCAACTTTGGGATGGGCAGATTTCTAAACAAATTGTGTATAGTTAACAGGCAAGATAACTTGAGGCTGTACAGAAATGAAAGTTGGAAGTATTTTTCATTGTTATGAAATAAAATAACAATTCTAAAATATGTTAGAATTAAAAATTGTTGAAATAGCATTAAAACTTACCCTTTTTTACAAAATTTTGAAATTTGACATGCAGATGTGCACTTAACACCTGAAAGGCCCTCAATGGTCCTAATAGGAAATTTAATTCTGGATCTTTAGAAAGCTTGTAAAGACTATTAGAATGTACAGTACCCTTGCTGCAATGGGAGGTGTCTGAGGTGGATTGAAATATTTTCACAATATCAAGGGTGTGCGTTTTTGTATCTCTATGTTCTTTTTCATCTCTAACATATTCACCTTTAGTATGGAAAAATAACTAATCTAAATACATGTACAGAATAATGGCTGTAATTATATTTTGATGTGTATTAGAAATTCAATACAAAGTGATTGGGGAAAAAAGCTAAGCTAGTTTAAATTACTAATTTGATGAATTAAAATTATAGATTGTGCATATACATGTGAAACTGAAATGATAATGGAGAATAAACTGGTCTTTACAATATTCAAAAAACAAAAGCAAAGTAAAATCAATAATATAATTTTAGAAACATGTAAGCTGCTTGTTCAATTTGAGACAGACTTGCCCTTTCAAATCTATTTTACATTCTTATGATTAAAGCAGCAGAACTAAAAAAATACACTGATGATGATGATAGCCTAGGTTATCAAACTTACCAAAAACACCCACTTCTGTTAAGAATGTAATATATTTTAAGTACATCATTACAAGCAAAGAAAGGTTTTATATCTCAACAAAATATTTACTATGAGATCAAGTTGAGAACATACCTGAAAATCTTCCTTCAAAAGCACTGAGCATAGATTTAGGTTGAGGCTTAGGAGTTATTGGAGGAGGAAGGCAATGTTTATGTCCTGGGCTTATGTTACAATTACCAGTTTTGGGGGAAATACCTATTAATTGAGATAAAATAGCAAAACTATGTAAAAACCTTCTATTATTTATCACAAAGTCTTAAGCTTGTGATAACAAGCAGTAAGCAATATAACGATTAATAAGTTTGCATAAAGCAATTAAACACATTTTTTGATAAGTGATTTATCCTTCCTACTCTCATACCTATTAAAAATGAATTTTGATATAAATAAACAAGACTTACATCTGTCATATATATATATATCATACAAGAACACTGTTTACTTAAGTCTTGACATTAAACAATATCATTCCACTATGATATTTCAAAATTAATGACAACTGTTATTTTGAATACACACTGTAATGTTCTTAACAAGTACCAGCATCCTAGGATCAAAAAAATAAATTGTAATGTTGAAACATAATAATATGTACTAGAAACCTGAGAATAAACAAAGCCATTTCTCTTGTTATGTTTCAAATTTAACATGTACTGCTATAATGAAATTATATAATGTCATTCAAATATAATGTTTCATATTCAGCCAGTATCATGAAAGTTAGCAATGTTCCTACCATAATAACGTGTATCACTATTCGAATTATATGGACAATGGAACAGCATTTACTAAACTGTGACATTTAACAAAATAGTCATAGAAACTTGTGGGCTCTAAATACAAGTATTTCTAATCACAAGTGATATCTTTCTTGGAGATCATTACTGTGTACATAAAAAGTAATGTAATTTAGATGTTTTAAACTATAAAGATGGTAGTGCTAAAATCATTAATTAATTTTTTTTTAAATCAAACAGTAACAATAACTTGTATAATAGCAACAGTTCATAATTTGGGGAGGAGACCCATTTGTGGTGTGGAGAGCAGATAGTGAACTATTTGGTTGCAATGCTACAAAGCCTGGCCTACTGCTTCCAGGTAAAGCAGACTTACCTTTATCTTTGGAGAATGCTTCTGTTTGGGAATTTGCTAGACCTGTGGATTTAAGGTTCACTGCATGAAGAAGGTTTTCAGAGCTTGTTTTATTTTCCATCGCCTGTGGATAAAAAAGTAATCAAACAAGAACACTTGCAATGACCTCAAGGCAGAAGTAAACAACTTTTAGGTTGACCTAATTACTAAATTTGAAATAAAAACATTTCTACTAACTTTTTCATTGCATAATTTTATTCGTACAAGTTT